AAAAAATGAAATTAAGTACCTCTCGGTACACCCACCGCTTATTTTTTTGGTCTGGTTCAATGCATTCGAATCTTTGCCTGATTTACAAAAACGGGTAGTCTTATACTATTAGTTCAATAATATGAGATTTAGGGAGGATAATATAGAAGAAAATATAGTTATTTTACATCATATTATACCCTTTGTCTTAGCTATCTCCTCAGTTTCAGGGCACTACCCTTATTGCCTCAACCAGTATCGGAATCCTCGGTGTCGACATATCGTAATAACGGGCAGTTTCGTGGTCACTTGGATGAGCAGGCCATGTCGACAAACTCAATTCACTATGCTTGTACACTATTAAAATAAATACTGCACTTTTATTTTCTCATTTAATCAAAATCATCCAACACCTATAAAGCTTAGGCATATATTGATGCTGTGAGCATATTAAACATTAACAACTTATATGAAACCTTAATGCTTATCTCTACATTTTTTCTAAAGAAATGATAATGAAATGTCACAAATTGACTTAATTTTTGACAGGCCAAATTGGCAACTAAAAGGCTTGGTGTGCTCAGCAGAGCGGGACAGTATTTCATGCCGGCACACCGCCTGCAACTTTACAATGTGCAGGTTCGGCCTCACATGGAATACTGTTCCCATCTCTGGGCTGGGGCTCTCCAGTGCTAGCTCCTTCCATTTGATCGCATCCAGTGCAGAGCGGTTCGAATCGTCGGTGACCGAGCTCTTTCTGATGGGCTTGACTCACTGGCACTGCGAAGAGATGTTGCATCTTTTTGCGTATTTTATCGTATCTCCCACGGGGAGTGCTCTGAGGAATTGTTTGGTCTAATTCCAGCCGCTCAATTTCACCATCGCACATCGCGACTAAACTCGCGATACTATCAATACCATATGAACGATTGGCGGTACACACCACTGTGCGATTTACAAGAAGTTTTCTTTCTCTAACAACTTCCTTGTGGAATCGAATACCAACAGAGATTTTTCCGGACCGATACGACTTAGGAACTTTCAAGAAAAGAGCGTACTCTCTTTTAAAAGGCTGGCAACGCATTTGCAATTCCCCTGGTGTTGCAGCTTGCAGTTGTTCATGGGCGGTGGTAGTCACTTACCATCGGATGAGCCGCATGCTCGTTTGCCCCCTCTCCTATAAAAAGGCTGTTAGGCATTTCATCTTAGTCCTCAAATTTGAAAACTCTTTTTATAGTTTAAGGGTGACAAACGAACATCAGTCCACCTCATGTTAAGTAATGTAGTGGCCCATAGACTCCAATCTCTATCTTCAATTATGAATCAAAATGCCTCATTTCCAGCAATAAATGGAGGTCTCCGGTTCTTTACATGGAACATAAAACACAGCAGTATTAAGCTGGTATTTTACGCTGGTATTCTGTGGGGGTCTGGTCCTTCCCCGGTCGAGGCGACCCATTCGTACTACAACCATACCCATAGCTGCAGCGTGACATTACTATGTATCAACTTATATCCAGTAATCAGTATTCTTTTTTGCTTTTTTTTGTTTAGTGGTTGTTGCATGCGACATGCTCATAATGGTACGAACAGTTCCTCACAAAATGTTTTGCCACTCAGTTTCGTATCCCATTAAACAAATGGGACAGGCCGTCACGGTAAATTACTAATTGGAAATTTATACTTACAGCTGCGACATATTAATAATATACCATCATCAGCATTACAAGCCTATAACAAGTTCACAGCTAAACAAAGGCCTACAAATACCAAACATTCTAAAAGTATAAAAATTTCAAAGAGAAAAGCAAAATATAAAATACAATAAAAATATATGGCAGTCTGTTTACTTTCTAAAGTAAAATATTTCAAAAATTGCATCAGCTTTTCTCGAGCAATGAACGTGACCTCATATATATCGTAGAATAATGACGCAATGCTTTCATTTCATTTCATTGGAGCGGCAAACGATCCATAAGCCCATCCCAGTTCCGTTACCGGTTTTGGCGGGAAGAATAGCTATTACAAAAACAATATTTAAAATTTTATGAGATATCTCTTAATATAATATAAAAATCGATTAATAAGATCATTAGATACCTAAAGTTAGTAATAATTAAGTAGATGTTCAAGTTTTATTTCAATTGAATTACCGTTAAGTGAAACAAAAATATTAAGAAATATTGAAGAGAAATCGTTTCGTCAACATGGATGATGGAATGGAAAGCAAAGCAAAACGTACTTACTGATATTAACATCTATGTATTTTTACAGCTTCATCGACACTCGTTAAAGAGTGTATCTTTATGTTATCATTATGTTCCGTGTTCATCAGACTCGGCGCTCCTTTCTTTTATATTTTCCTCTCCTCTTTCTCTCTCCATATTCCTTTTCCTTGTTCAGGACTAAGTTGGCCTATAAAAAGGCTGCGCGTTACTACCTAGCTATTATAATTAGTGACCGACCGAAGATTCGGTTGCGGTTTTAGTTTCGGCAAGTTTCGGCCAAAAATCTAGTTTCGGTTTCGGCAAAAAACCTGCCGTATCTTCGGCGGCGCTGAAACTCAGTGTTCGTGGATTATCGTGCGTCATTCGAATGAGTTCGTAACTCGTGTATTATTCATAATTATACAGAAACAGAAACAGAAACTTTTTTATTCAATATAGATTATAAATAATACTTATTGAGTTACCTTTTTGTTTAATTACCACTGGTTCGAAAAAAAGCCTCTGTCCTTAGAAGGACCAGCAAGAAACCCAGCGGGACTTTTTTTAAATAACAGCTTACAAGAGGCGTAGCGTGGACTAATATAAACGTGGACGAAGTTCCCTTTTCTTTCGTTCCAAGGATCTTCCCAATAGATCTATTCTACCAAAGATGCTTTGACACAACACACCTACTCATTTTCTCATTCCTCATATCTATTAATTACTGACAAGTCTCGTATTCCGTCAATGTAACAGTCGCACTCTTTGAAGGTAGGTATCCCTCGCCTACGGCCTCGCAGTCGCACTTAAGAGGGGCTTCTTGCGAGGCCCCAAGCAAACACACTTAAATTTTTGATTTTCTTTTTCCAGCGTAAAAGTGATCAAATTAATTAGTCATCTGTGGTAAAGTCTGGGGGCATCGCATTTTAAGGGACCTCGCGAAACCCCTTTAAGTGCGAGACCGTAGGCGAGGGCCCACTTTGCCCACGCCTATCTACACCACTGCTTACAATCTTTTATGTATCACATTTAACAACACAAAAAAAATTAAAAACAGCTTGGTGATCACCTCATCATTCCCATAAATTCCTTAATATTATAATAACCCTTTTAAACAAACTTAGTTTATTAAAGTTTTTGAACTTTGAGCAGGTTTTGTATATTTTCTGGGATTTTTTGTGTGTATATTGTGTGTAAGTGTGTGAGTGTGATATATTAAGTCAATGCTCTCATTTAAGAATATTAACAATATTGTGAACACAATAAAATTTGTTATCAATTACCGAGTAACTTTTTATAGGTGAAGTGTTGATTTGTTTTACAAAATTGACTTAAAAAGTATTTCTTAACGTTAAATTGTTGATTTTTACTTTAAAATAAATAAATATTTGTATATTGCTACATGACTATTAAAATTACTGTTTTTCATTAACATATACAGATAGGTATATCTGTATATGTATAAAAAACATACCAAATTTTAGTATACAACAAAAACAATTAACATGTCTAAATAAGTTTTGGTTTCGGTTTCGGTTTCGGCCGAAACTGACACCCAGACCGAAGGTTCCTTTTCGGTTTCGGTTTCGGTTGAAAATCCTGTTTCGGTCGGACACTAATTATAATTAGTTTAATATGGCTATTTGACCCATTATTGCCTCAAACAACACCTGATTACTGGTTTATAAACAGCTTAGAGACCTTGTGGTATTATCGTTATTAACTGTTTACTAAGTCGATTTTCGTCAAAATCTCTTACAACTTCGGAATGTGACGCATCAGCTTATTATAAAGAGTTTTGTGAACAAACAAATAAAACTAGGCTGTATGGTAAAAGATCTTTGCCTACCTTAACTCGTAAATCGTAACAACGACAACAAACGCTTCCTGTTGCCGTAGTGATATCCAATCTCTCTAAAAAGATCGATTTTTTAATCCATTCGAACCGAAGATTAAAGAATCGTTTCAGAAAAAATTTAAGTCTTGCTTTCCTTTTTATTATGAGTTTTAATAAAAAAAAAACACTAAACCAAAAAACACGAAAGGTATGCCTGTCTTATAATTGAAATTAAAAAGTAGAACTATTTATTAAATAAAATCATGTAATTTTATTTTATTAAGAATAGTTTATAATATTTCATGACCATGCTTTTGAAGAATAAAAGTCTGTGTAGTAATTTGTTACGTTTTAGTTAAAAAGTAAAGTAAAAACCCATATCCTTACTACTGCAGGGCACAAGCTTCCCCTTTCTAATTTGGATTGAGTAGTTTTTGAAGCCGCAATACTCCAGTCCGACGCTGCTGTGTGCGTGATGGTGTATACTTAACATGACCAAGAAATATTTAATTCACAACATGTTGCTTTCCTCATAATGTTTGCTTTTTCTTCCCCGTTGAGCACGAAATCAGCAATAAAAATGCAATTAACAATTTCATTAGTGCCGGTGAGGGTTAAATCCGGGTTAAAAGCGTACTGTGAAGTGTTATAAGTGACGAGAGGGTAGATGATGGTACATACATATGTATAGACAAGGATTAATTTGCGTAAGCCAGATATGATGTTAAGCATCCTCTCTTACACTGATAATATTTTATAATAATCTCTTATATGTTATGTTTCATTTTTACTGATAGAGAAAAAACAACGAGAATGAAGAAAAAAATATAAAGTTTGACGGGATTGATTCATTGCATCGATTAAAATAATCGACCCTCTGTATTGACTTGAGAAATCAGTTCTTCGATTAATCGATTTTGAATCGTCATCCCTATTGTCAGCTTAGGAAATAAAAACTAATTTTGTTATGTTATTTTATCAATATCAATTGTCAAGTCAAGTCAAGTAGTCGTCAATTTCAAAGTACCTGTGTTATCTATGATCTGTCGTCGCGATGGTTGGTTATTCGTTATGGAAATTTAAATGTTATTTATAGTGTTAGTTCATTTGAATTCGCGTTAATTACCCACAATGAAACATAAGAAAAATAAAGTGAATAAAATGCTTTGATGTTAAAAGTAAACTCTAGTAAAATATTAATTTCACCTCTTTTCATTTCAAAATTAATTGTGTTGGAAAGGTAGACCTCGATTTCATAGAAAGTTTCAAGATTTTAAAACTAGTTTTTTCATGATTGATGATTATAAAGAAAGCATGGATCAAACGAAAAAAATGCCAAAAATACTATTACGAGATGATAATATAGAGGAAGTGTCAAGGAAAGAGCCCTTGTGGGTGTTCGGATACGGATCTTTGTGTTGGAATCCAGGATTTGATTACGAGCAGTCTGTTACTGGATTTGTAAAAGGATTTTCTAGAAGATTTTGGCAAGGCAATACAACTCACCGTGGAACTGAAACCAAGGTAATTTTAACTAATGACAATTGTACCATTGGTTGTTGCATTTTTATTGAAATTAATTATTCTATCATAATTACAACATGAATAAAACCCATATATTTTGGGTTTTAGATGGAAACATCTAAAATTTAATGGTTAAACGCAAAGCGCGTAGGCATGCAATATTAATAATGTTCATAAAAATAATGTTCTACTAGCGCCCTAAAATCAAGATTTCCAATGTTGTTGCATGAAATTGTATCTAACAATCATATTGAACATATAAATGATATAAAATTGCACATTGTCAGAAAGATAAATGCTTCTGGCACTTATTTTCTTTTGTTTTTTTAGTGTGGTTTTAGTGGCATAAGGTGTAGATTTATCAAGTCCGCATAGAGACGTAAACACAACAACTTCTGAAAATATCAATTGTTCATTTAATCTATTTTTTAAACTCTTTATCTATCATGTGGGCAGCAATAAAATGTAAATGGCAGTTTAATTTTGTTTTGTTTAGCTATAATAAATTTTTTTCAGCTGAGAAATAGTGAAATTTTCTGTGTTTTGAACAGCCTTGTATTAATTTATTTTACTAAATACACCTCACTCTTGGCCACAGAGAAATTTTTTACTCTGAGCTCGTCATGAGTGGTCACTTGTTTACAGCGGTTCATGCTGAAAATTATTGATCACTTTAGAAATACAAAATATTCCAAAAACCAAATTTGATACATACTTGACCAAGATAAGATATTGTTATTATTTTTATAATCACAGATTATTATTATAATATTTTGTTTCACTAAAAGTACAAAGGATCTATATATAGAAATATACTTATATGTCTTGGACTTTATGGAGACCTGAAGGTGTACTTCTATATCTGTTACTGGAACTCCTCGACGAGTAGAACTAGGTGTGCCCAGATTATGCTCATTATGTTATTTATAGTTAGACCTTACCCCGACTTGAAGGTGTACTTCGGTGAATGCTACTGGAACTCCTCGAAGATTAATAATAGTAATAGGTGTGCTGAGTTTGGGCTCGTTTTGTTAGTAATGATGAAACCTTACCTCCGAACAGTGGTGGATTATCCTTAAGGCAAACTAGGCACGTGCCTAGGGATGCAAGGTAAAAAGGAGCGTGTTTTTGAACGAAAAAACATATTGTATTTGATTACTCCTAAATCACTTACTCTCTCATTACATTTTTCATTTATACCCTGTTAATGGTACTCGTATCCTAATTATTTTGCAATTCTTAAACTATATTATAAATTATAATATAATATATAATAACCATATAACATTTTTATATTGAACAAACATGTTGGTTTCAATTTGTAGATATTGTCTATTTACTCACATATATTGTACGATAAAATTTATTTGACTAAAATCATACTAATACAGTGTGATTTACCATCTAGGGCTTCTTCACTACTAACCACCAGGTGGGATTGTGGTCAAGCACTAGTTTATAATAAGTAAAAAATGTATATAATTTATTTGTATTGAATATTATAAGTACTTGTAACTGTCTTTTTAAATTAGTTTTGGTTAGTAAAACATAACATGATACTCTGAAAAATGCTAGATATGCCATTTATTAGTATTAACTAAATTATTTCTTATTTTGGAGAAGCTTAATTTTAGTGATGTGGACATTGAATGAAAAACTTTAAAAACAGTAAGAAATTATTATTATTATATTATCTTACTTCACCATAAGACATGCAGGATGTTGATGGATGCAGGAGGCTCAGAACTGTGCTTTGTGGCATTCCTTTTGGGAGTCCTATGTTCAGCAGTGAACTTATGAAGGACGGTAATAATAATAATGATGATGATGATGTTACAGTATGTTAGGGAGTTATAAGTGTTTTGGTGCTTTACTAATGGGAATCTAATTAGGCGAATTGTTATAAAATACTTTGATGTGTTGTAGTTTTCTTTATACAATTAAAATGTTAATTTTGAAGGTAGTACCCATTAATTGTAAAAATTGCTGTAGAAGGCCTCTGCAATTTTATAAAGAAAGTAAAAGAATTTAAAAATCCTCCCAATATGTAATGAATGAATGAATAAATAGAAATTAAAATATAACCAGTCATTGTAGATTGGTTGAAATTTAACCGTAATTCATTCACAGTTGCTAACATTTTAAAATTCTTTGGCGACTATCTACTCTGTGCAGCTGTTTGACCATAGACTATTAATGAAAATAACGTTTGAAAATTTTTTTTTAGATCTATAACATACATAATATGCATGTGCTTACTCTGAGACATTGTCAGTATGAACATAAACAATGTGCTTTATTCACGAAGCAAATTATTATTTTATTTAATTTAAGTTATTTGTAACATATCTTATTTATAAATTTTAGCTATATTCATTCATTTTCCATATAAACTTTAACTATGCCACTTCTCACACGCTTCCATGTACACAATATGCTAAAAAGGCGTAGGTACTAAGTTTTTTCTTCACATATTAATAATACCTCTAGATATCATAAAACAAAAATACACAGTGTGTACTGCTATTTGGAGGTAGAATTAAGTAAACGGGTTCACCCAGATTCCTTCAAAAGCTAAATTAAAATTTGGGTGGTTATTTCTTCATGCATCTTTGTTCTCTGCATCTTGTTACCTATATAATAGACTAGCTGATACCCACGACTTTGTCCGTGTTTCTTGACATATCAAGAAAACACACAGCACTGAACATGTAGTGCTTATAAAAATCGTTGTTTCTTAAAACTTTAATAACTTTATATTAAATGAAGATATGGCAATATTTTGTTTTTAGATAAGTGTCTAAGAAATAAAAAAACCTAATTGAAATCTATCCAGTAGTTTATCCGTGATGCGTGCACAACTGCAAACCTCTATCATTTTATTTATATAGATTAAGATATATTATAATAATCTAATCCTTGATTTTTTACTGAAGCTAAAAATGCAGTTCAGTCTCATTTTTCTATATAAACTACATTATATTAAGAGATTTAGGGTGGATGCCCCTAATACCAGCCATGCCCCTAATTCCAGCCTTTTCGCCTTTTTACTTCGTAAATAAGATTTCTAGTAGTCTTTAAGACTACTAGAAATCTTATTATTAGAAGATTATATATTATACTACTATATATTATTAGAAGATTTTTTTAGGTGACAATATTTGTAGTTAATAACTACAAATATTGTCACCTAAAAAAATCTTCGTAACTAGAGGAAACTATAGGTATTTCAAATATTACCTCACAGTTTTAAACCTAACAGTGTTAAATTAAAAATCAAAACACGTACGCGACGAAAAACGCTAATTTTCCCAATTTTTTGACAAGTTATGATCCCGGTAAAATTATGTTTAAGTACTTTACGTTATCTCATATATAGGCTTTTTGATTTGTATGAATATGACTAGACATAGTTATACAGTTTTTTTTTGTCTAAATTTACAAGTTATTTATTTTCTTTTAGTGGAAATTAATGAGGCTGTAATTAGATATACGAAATGTATGGAGTGCATAATGTCAGCCGCCCGGCTGTTATTTGGTTTGACGTATCTGATAAGAAGTACCTTATTTTAGCGACGTAATATAAATCAGGGCTGTCATAAACTGGAATAAATACCATTAATTAGATCTTAGATAGAGAAATAACACTTATTTTATAATTAAGAGCGTTATGATCAATTCGTCAGTTTTAAAATTGGTTTTAGATTTTAAAGTTTACCAAAAGATGTACTAGCTTTTCTATCTGAAATTCGTTATATATTAAGAACACCTTATGTATTCAATTATTTTTTGAGAAAGCAGAAAAAAGAAGCAATACTTAAATGTAGTATATACAAACAAAAACTATAACTTAGTAATACTATATTAATTATAACTTAGAACATAAATGAAAATCTCATGATGAGGAAAGTGGTTTAGAACCAGGCTTTCCGGCGGTCTATGGAGGAGGATGTTCAGTAGTGGACTTGTGTAAGGTTGTAATGACGATGATGATTTGAAAACTTGGATGATTAAATTATTAGAAATCGATGTACTACATAATATTTTATCATAATTTGCTTTAATTTATTGAAGTGCTTTAAACTAAAACACAGTAAGTTAAGTAGTAAAACGTTAAAATAAAATAATGTTGTCGTCTGCCTTAATAATATCCCATGCGTGTCACATGCAGATTCAAAATTAAGTTACCTACAATAGGTACTTACCAAAAACTCAAAAGGCACAACCCTATGCTATGCTGGCATTAAGTACACAAAAGGACGACATTCGATACAATTTGGCTGGAATTTGAGCCATAACGCCTTTTTTTGCTTATCGTCGTTTTTAAAATTGTTCTTGAAATAATATGATTGTAAATAAATGTTCATTATATTTTCAGATAAATATCTATTAAAACAAATGTTTAAAAATATTGTGCCCTAATTAAAATAGCAGGAATGTTTAAAGTTGAAATTGGCACTAAAAGGCTGGTAATAGAGGCATCCACCTTAGGAATAGTGCGTATTACCGGCACGTTTTTGGTACGCATTAGCAGAGCCGAATTAAATTTTGACAGCGCCCTAGGCTAGCACCTTATCGGCGCCCCTCTGACGACCATATATTATGTATAAATTATAACTATATGTTCATTGTAAATGAACTATATTATAATTTATAATATAGCTTATTTCCAAAATAATTATAATACGTGTACTATTAATAGGTGGGAGTGAATGAAAAATGTGATGAAAGAGTGAAGACGATGTCCCGCGCCCCTCTTTTTAATCCGTCGCCCCTAGGCACGTGCCTGGATCCGTCACTGCGCATTAGTGGCTTTTATGGGTATTTATGGCGTATTTATTTGAGAACGAACAATGATGGACTTGTCTGTGTGTATAGTTTGTGTTTGAAGCTTGAATCGCGTGGATGCACTTTAGTTTGCGTAACTGCACACGTCTCTATAGAAATTTGTACATTACCTGACCCTTATCGTTATACTCTATGTAACATTAGACACTTCGATGTACTTCTATTTCGACTATACGTAAATGTTAATCGACTCTAAGGTTTTTAAAAATATAAATAAGTAATATACAATAATGGCAAATATCTTCAGTGAGGTAGGTTACAAGTGTAGAGGATACTGACAAACCCACTGTCTTTAATCTGTGATTGCAGTCAAAAATAAAAAAAGTAAAATTTATGATTTATTGCACTCATTGAACTGCAAAAAACATCTTAAAAAAGAGAATGTTTACTTGTGGTAAGAGAGCGACTTTAAGCCCCCATATATGGATTCCACCTTAACAAGATCATCGCAAGTTGGATATTTATCGGCTTGACTTACGTAAAAAGAAAGCAAAACACTATTCACAAAAACAATTTACAACCGAAAGTGACGAAGAATGTGTTAAAACTGTCAAACAGCTCGGCTTAATCACGTCAATCAACCGTTTGTTTTGGTCACTTGAGTTTTAACCAACTGCGTATATCAGAATGTGTTGTAAAAATAATTATTAACTTATTTTTAGAATACAGTTTTTATTTACTGGTGGTTATTAGAAAGACGGTGCCCATTTCCTGGTTTGTTTCCCTCTGTCGCCTCTTACGACACCCACGGAATGATATTCTTAATCTTACACCGCCACTACACGGTAAATCCCGTCCGCATATACCGAATAACACATAATATTATATTAGCTCTTGCCTCAAACGTTCTTTTATAACCGGTTATTATGATATATACGTTAATAAATTTAAATATTGAGCCCTTCATTTCAATACAAAAGTACTTGCGATAATTAACATAGAAACACTTGATAATTATGCTATCTTTTCAAGTATCCTACGACAATGAGGAGCATTGCACTTCAAACACACAGCAAATATACTGCAATAACTTATTATTTTATATATATATATATATATTCTTACACTATTATATTAGGTTTACAATCTGTATTCTGATATAGATAAGATTATTTATTACTTTTTCAGAGTGAAAGAGTAATAAATAATCTTATCTATATCAAAATACAGAGAAGATGTAGTGACAAAAATTGAGAAAGGTATGCTGAGATGGTTTGGCCATGTTGAGAGAATGAATGAAGAACGATTGACGAAAAAAGTGTATAAGGCGAGTGTGAATGAAAGTGCTGTGCTGGAAGGGGTAGACCTAGGCGCACATTACTAGACCAAATCAGGGACGTCTTGAAAAAAGGCCAGGTCAAGAGTACCCTAAACCGTAGAGCATGTATGAAGGGAATAATGAAAGTGGACGAAGCGAAACAAGTATGTAAGGATCGTAGCAAGTGGAAAGAAGTGGTTTCTGCCTACCCCTACGGGAAAGAGGCGTGATTATATGCGTCAAACATTTTTACTTGTGATGAAATTATCTTGTGTGGTTCTTAGTACTGAGTGTTTAGGGTTTATTTTCGGAATTGACTGACAGATATTGTTATTTCACATTAAAAAGTATTATTAATCACAATCAAATATAGAGCATGTCACTCAGGAATAATGTAGCTTTCTACTGTTGAAAGAATTTTTAAAATCTGTTCAGTAGTTCCAGAGATTACTTCTTACAAACAAACTCACAAACTTATAAACTTTACCTCTTTATAATATTAGTATAGATTAAATGTTGTAATGTTGCAAATTTTCACGCTAGATACCTATTGAAGAAAACAAAGAGTAGTGAATGATTAAAATTGTATTTTGATAGTCGAATGAGTCTGCCGTTAAAGGCCTGTTTTCACTTTGATTAGTGATTAGTGCAGGCGCTTAGTGTTTAGGAGTAAACACGTGTGGACAGTGATTGATTAGTGCAAGTGATTAATAACCTGTGTAGTAAAGTGATTAGAAGCGTGTTCTATTTTTTTGCGAGTGGACTGCGAGTGTCACTCCCCGCGCGCCCTTCCTTTCCCCTCACTCGCAACATGCCTGCCACTAAACATGTTTGGACAGCAGTGCTTAGTGTTTAGCGTTTAGCTTCGGACGCTCGCTTCTGTTAAAAAAATGTTAATACTTCCTGGTCGACTGCTAACAACTGAATTTACTAAACACAGCCACTAAACAGAATTGGACACTACTTACACTACGCACCTGCACTAATCAACGGCAAAACTAATCACCTGCACTCGCACTAATCAAAGTGAAAACAGGCCTTAAATCACCGCCCTTTTAACAACGATTTATATTTTATGCTGAGGGGGACGGACACACGAGCACACAGTTTACTGTACTGTACTGTGGCCCATAGATATCTACATCTGTCTTCGATTAAGAATCAAAATGCAGATGTAATCCCTATGGACTAAGATGGAAAGCCTCGTTCCCAGTAAATATTGTCTCCGGTTCTCTACACTCACCATACGAAATACAGCACTATATTTTAAAATTTATTTGGGACCACCTCTGCGGTAAAACCATTAAAAACGGTTCATAAACAAACTTATGCTTTAACTTACGTGAAAATATATATAATATTATAAAGACGAATTAAGAAGCTCCTGCCTTTTGAAGTAGCTTAAAATTGCGTTACGTATATCAATGCTTACTGTTCCTTATTACTTGTTACAGCCTGGACGAGTTGCGACCCTCGTAGAAGATAAAGAGGTATGTAGAATTTTGTTCTACTTTATACTGTGTTATTGTTTCACTCAGACATTTCACTGACTGTCTCTTCTAGTGACGTAAACACAATTGCGGATCATAAAGTCCCGGGTTCGAATCCCATGGTCGAGTCAAATCAGTTATTTGGGTATCTGTCAACAAATTCTCAGTAGCCGCCCGAAGTCAGTAAGTCGGCTGTGTTTCACCCCCGTGCCTCGGAAAGCACGTTAATCCGTTGGTCCTGCGCCGGATCTCTCTCCGGACGTGTCGGATTACCGTCTCTATCGGACTACGAGAGTGAGAGAATAGAGAGCGCACCTGTGCTTGCGCATACACCTTGAGCACTATGATTTTGTCCAGCGCAGATGGCTAGTCTCTGTTGATACTGGCGGCCGTGACCGCAATGCGGTATTTAGGACATTATTATTGTTTCTATCTTCGGCGAACTCTTCACTACTCATAAAAACCGTTCGGAAATGAACGGACGTGTGCCCAAAGCAATTGGACGTTAGTAGGCATTTAATTTATTTCACTTTGAATATGTTTAATAATATATTTAATTGATTATGACACTGCACTTTATACTGCCTCATACATTTAAGCGTAATTAAGCTCATAATGGGACTATAACACTGGGAATACATTCATCTCTACAGAGGAATGTATTCCCAGTGTTATAAAAGGCAAGCGACTTTATAGCATTTAAATATTAGTTGGTTTGATTGACTTATCTTTAGACAAACTACAATTAGTCATGTTTCATTAATTATATCAAGTCGATATTTATTATCTTTTTTCTACAAGTTAGGGTGACTTAAAAGCACATAGTCTGCGTCTGGCGGCAAGTGCATACTGTGGCTCGTAGACATTTCTTTTTTTTTTCTTATTCTTTTAAAAACGTTACCCCCACACTAGGATTTTCTCCTGTGTCATGGAGGCAGTTTACAAACATAAATTGCACAAGGACAAGCATCCAGACTCGGAACAATTATTTGTAGGCCATACAAATACTTGTTCCGTGCGGGATTCGAACCCGCGGCCCCCAGCGCAACAACTGATTGCTAAGCCACTGCGCCACGGAACCGTCAACTATCCTTGTTAAACAATCGAAATGCAGATGCCCTTCATTTATTATTCCATTTCAATCATCATACCAACAGCGTCTTCCTATTAACGACTAAAAATAAAAATAACTGCGATTGGAGATTGGTGAGATTGGTTTTAGCCAAATACATTTCATCTCAGTCCTCAGCGGAGACAATGAATCTGCATTTTGATTTATTATTTATTTTACTGTGGTATTGTCTGACGTAAACGGCATAGTATACCGCAACATATCGGACGGCCATATATCGGAATTTTTGTGGCATTTCTAACAGTCGCCTTTTATATATGTATTGACATAAGAAAAATGTTGATGTATTATTTTACACCGCCACCGCACAGTACATTGTTATTGAGTATGCAAAAGCTATTGCAGCAAAAGCTACGAAATCAAGGCCCTTTACAATATTCAAACTGCGGTTAAACATATATATCTATTCTCGAACTAGCTAAATAGTCTTTACGATTTTCGGTAAAAAGGATTGCGACATTTAACTAACATTAATAAATCGGTACCGCTGCTACTACCTGTTTTATTTTCGTAATTTACAATTTCATCTGCCGGCTTCTAATTTAAGAGTTTGCAAACACTTAGTCCATACCGCTTCGACCTCATTCCCTTGGTTTAAATTGATTAAGTATTTTAATTTATGTCGATAATGGTTGCAATTGTAGTTTCATCATTTTCGTTTCGTTTTTATTACCAACGACAAATTTCTTTCGTTCTTTTGTTTTAAATATTGATCATCAAACCTGAATGAAACTAGTGTTTTTTTCTTCTTCAATAAAACGTTACCGCGTCCTTTCTAGAAACTTCGCGAATATTACTTATGCAAACATGATCACACATTGAGTATTTTACATATACAAACATGGTCACAGATAGACAAACATTATAATGTGGGTGTCATCAAGGCAAGAGTTAATAGGTTTTTGTTAAACTAAGGGTGTGCGCTTTAACATCTTCGGCTGTATCACCACTTACCATCAATTAAATTAAAACAACATCTTAATCATCACCCGTAAAAAATATTTCCCCCCACTAGATGGAGTGACGACCTGGAAAGATATGCAGAAAGTCGATGGATGCAGGTGTCTCAGGACCGTGCTTTGTGGCATTCCTTGAGGGAGGCCTATGTTTAGCAGTGGACTTGTGATGGGCTGTAATGATAATGATGAAGAAATATTTGTAGGCCGTACAAACCATTCCGAGCGGGAATAGAACCAAACTCTTGGCCACTGCGCTACTGTCTAATTGCGTCAAGTAATGATAATAATTTCCTCTAAAAATTTGGTCACGACGGCCAGTCCCAACGGAGAACAGTTATCTGTCATCTGTGACAGCATAATAGTCCATGAGTGTGACCATGTACGAATATAATTTTAGTTTTATTCTATCATTTTTTTATAGGATAACGGTGACACACGAGCACATAGTCTACCTGATGGTAAGTAGATGCTATGGTCCATAGACATCTACATTTATCCCCAATTAAGAATCAAAATGCATATGCGTTGTCAACCCCGAGGACTGAGACGAAATGCCTCGTTTCCAGTAAAATGGGTCTCGGGTTCTCTACACTCACCATACGAACACAAGTAGCATTAAGCTGCTATTTTCTCACATAAGTGAAAGCGTGGTCTCACCGTGGTCGAGCCGACCCATTCGTGCTACAACCATAATGTAGCTGCAGCGTGGATATACCGAGTAAAAAATCGATGACGGCGCTAAATTGTTTAAAAGTTCGTATGTTCGGGAGCGACGATTTCAGTGCTGATGGATAAACTAATATGTAATTGCAGTATGTTTGCTTAAGATTCTGTTTCTTTGTTAACAAACAGAAGTCTTAAAGTGCAGCATACGTGAATAGATAACATAATTACCCATCAAGTGTTTCGATGTTAATTATCGCAAGTACTTTTGTATTAAAAGTGGAAGTATCAATATATAAATATAATAACGCATAATATATTATAATAACCGGTTATTAAAAAAAATATTTCAAGAATAATATCGTCCCGAGTCTCCCGAGTATTATATGAGTTACCTGTGGGAAGAGCTGTTATAATTTTGTGTTATCCAATTGATCCCAGCGGGGTTTAGCGTGTAGTGGCGGTGTCAGATATTCCGCTACAACATATCGTGCAATTTTCAAAATAAACGGGAGATGAGAAACAACGTCCTTCTAATAACAACTATAGCATATATCCCCCTTATGAGGAAATTTATGGGGAGGTCTATGTGCAGAGTGTACTTAATAGGCTGTAATAAATAAACGTGTGCTCTCTCAACGTGGTGATCTCTATTCCCTCACTCTCATAGTCTGATGGGACAGAAATCCAACATACGTTGGATTTTATACGTGTTAGAGCCATGCTGCAGCTATTAGTAGTACGGTTGTAGCACGAATGGGTCGGCTCGACGCGGGGGAGGGGTGGGGCTTTTACAGAATACAAGCGTAAAATAGCAGCTTAACACTGCTGTGTTTCGTATGGTGAGTTTAGAAAACCGGGGACGGGGACCCTTTTTGCTGGAAGATAGGCATTCCATCTAGGTCCTCACGGGTGACAACGCATCTACAGTTTGATTCTTTATTGAGGATAGATGTAGATGTCTATGGGTCACAGCAACCACTTACCATCAGATTTGCTGTGTGCTCGTTGGTCACCCTATCCTATAAAAAAAAACATGAACGGAGAGAGCTCAACTTTACGTGCTTACCGAGGCACGGGGGCGCAACACCGCCAACTTCCTGTCTCGAAGCTTCTACTAAAAATTTATTAACAGAAAAACCCAAGAACTGATTTCGTCCCGACCCGATATTTGAACCCCTGACCATATGATCTGCAATCGTACTTACTCCGGGCACATCTCTCCGGGTAGCTACTAAAAATTTCATGACAGAAAATCGCAATGACTAATATTGGTCCGACGGTGGGTACCGACCCGGAATTCCAATTTTTAACCCGGAAACATATTGTCATTGCAATCAAGTAATCGTACCTAAGAAGTACCTAAGTGAAAGTGTAAGCAAATAAATTATAGTGATTCCCTTATAATAATACCCTCAAAGTAAGCGATAGGATAATCCTATAATCCAACTTATCTTGTCAATTTATTCTATCAGTTCTTGACCTACGATGCGATGCGACTTTGTTTGTTCCAGTACACCTGCATTGTGTGATGCCTTGTTACTTTTATTGAACGAAGTTACAGTCCACCTGACGGTAAGCGGGTACAGCAGCCCATGGACAACTGCAAACAACAGATGAGTTATCACCTCTGTGCACCAAGATCGAATGTCTAACGGCCTGTGATTATACCGGCTCTATACTCTTCAGAACATAACAGTGCACACACTGCTGTTTGGCGGAAAATCAGTAACAGGATAGTACTTATTCCGACAAACACTTAGTTGAAAACTCCCAACTCCTTTCCTGCGACGGAGATCTTAAAAACATCGCACTGACCCTCCTTATGAATTTTAATAACCAAGCATCATACCTCTAAGGTATACTTCTCTGAGTATCTTATTACTTTTGATTTTGATGAGTATGACGGAAGTTGAAGTTGTTTGCGTTTACAAATGAAAAAATTTAAAAACCTTTAAAATTGTTAATTACTTGCCTGCCTGCCTGTGTCTTAAGCTGAATTTCTTAAGTGGCATTTAAATTTCTTTGCTTTTATTTTGTTTATATTTGTAAATACGCTGTCGTTGTACCAATGTAAATATAGTAAACGTAGGTATACTAGGAACTAAGAAGATAACTTTCACATAACAGCTTCAGGAGTCGGCTAAAACATATAGTGTATAGAGGAAATAAAGCCTAATTCAGAAGCTGTAAGGCGGAATTTTTTTTAGTTCTTTGACATCAGCTTTTACTTTTTATTAAAAGTT